TCTTCATTGTTCTTGTTTAGAATCAGAGGTGCTAGTTTCAAATCCTTTTTAGTCTGAAATCTGTATGCTTGATATTGAATAAGGTGGTTTTATTGTTTTTTGTCACTTTGAATAATATTTCTGTTCATGTTAAAAATGAAATCAACTCTCTGTATAAATATATCAGGTGACCGTTAAGGCCCATGGGCCTCTTGTTCATTTAACAGTCGCATACAGGCTACTTCCCACAGCTAAAAAGTGCTTTATTTTCCCGATAATGAAGAAAAATCAAGAATATCTTCCGAATTCCAATACAAATAATGTTTTATTTTCTCAATTCACGTAAAATTTAGGTTGAAAAATCATTGGGATTATTTGTCTGTATTTCGTCTCTAGACCACCGTCTTCATATCATGACCTTAGCTGTTGAAAGGACACTAAACACCGAACACATAAAATCATTCAGACCACTTTAATAATTGTCATGCAGTTGTGCACACCGTTTCTCATTTTGGTTGGTTCATATTAGTGCATTACAAGTTAGTTGAAAGAAGATGTGAACATGGGGAAGCTACATTAATTGATGTATTATCTTATCTTTTATGTCAATTAGTTTATTTATATTGCTTTATATTCAATGTAAGTATGTATATTTTTCTTCCAATTCTTTCACATAGGTAGGTCATTGATTTTTGTGTGTGTTTTTTTTCCAAACCTTTTTAGGGAAGAGACAGAAATCATAGAAGGAGAAGTTGTGGAGATACAGATAGATAGACCAGCCACTGGAACTGTAAGTCTCATGGTGGTCTCTTTATACACAGACAGCTGCTGGGTTTGTCAATAAAATTGATATGAAATCATTCTCTACCCTGAGAGTTAATTAGAATACCTCATCCCGCAGGATAAGATCTTTATAGAATGTCCAATCCTTGGCAAACCTCTAGTTTGGGCATTAATACCTAAGATTTTGTTTCTGTACTCCCGATGTAGGTACACATTTAACAAATAATTTCTTAAAATAAACTGATGAAATTTCACATGTGGACAAAAGAAATGTCCTATTTCTATATAAAGGCAGAAATACAGATAGTTAAGGTTAGCAATGTTGAATTCTCTATATGTGTCTTCCCAATCCTCTTTAGATATATAATGTATTTGAGTAACTTGGATGCTATTTTGTGAATGTGTTATATTTTACAGGGAGCCAAAGTTGGAAAATTGACACTGAAAACAACAGAAATGGAAACAATATATGATCTTGGACAGAAGATGATTGAGTCGTTAACAAAAGAAAAAGTACAAGCTGGGTATGTGAAGAGGCATTTGGGTCTAAGTGAGGGACAATGTAGATTATAAATCATTTAGGTAGTGTCTTTGTGTTGGACAATGTAGTATATATGTCATAGAGGTAGTGTCTTAATGTTAACTTACATAATGTAGAGTATAATTACCACTAGGTAAAGAAAATACTACCTTTTAAAATTCTTATGAACAACTTACAGAAAACTATCAACAAGTTTTTCAATGCAGCTTCAGTAAATCAAACAGATTAAAAAACATGAATTTTACCAAGCCTCGTATAGCATATTACAGAAATTTGATCAGTATACTGTGACTAGGTCGTGTGTTTGTATTAATGAAAAGTTACAAGTACGGAATATTTTGTATGGAGTTTTTCATGATCTGAACAACAGTGTTTTTAACACTGTCCATCAGAAAATCATTTCAGAAAAGAATGTGACAATCTGAACACCAATTTAATTGGTAGTTAAAATGAAATGGTATCTCTATTAGTGTCAGACGAAATTTCAAAGTAACTTGTGTTGTATTCTGATTTCAGAGATATAATTACAATAGATAAAGCCACGGGAAAAATCACAAAGCTGGGACGATCTTTTACACGAGCAAGAGATTATGATGCCATGGGAGCTCAGGTAAGACCAGTTATTTCAAATCTACCAGGAGAAAACATCAGTAACTTGTGATAGGCTAGAATATCGTCTACCAGGAGAAAACATCCGTAACTTGTGATAGACTAGAATACCATCTACAAGGAGAAAACATCAGTAACTTGTGATAGGCTAGAATACCGTCTACTAGGAGAAAACATCAGTAACTTGTGATAGGCTAGAATACCGTCTACTAGGAGAAAATATCAGTAACTTGTGATAGGCTAGAATACCGTCTACTAGGAGAAAATATCAGTAACTAGTGATAGGCTAGAATACCGTCTACTAGGAGAAAACATCAGTAACTAGTGATAGGCTAGAATACCGTCTACTAGGAGAAAACATCAGTAACTAGTGATAGGCTAGAATACCGTCTACTAGGAGAAAACATCAGTAACTAGTGATAGGCTAGAATACCGTCTACTAGGAGAAAACATCAGTAACTAGTGATAGGCTAGAATACCGTCTACTAGGAGAAAACATCAGTAACTAGTGATAGGCTAGAATACCGTCTACTAGGAGAAAACATCAGTAACTAGTGATAGGCTAGAATACCGTCTACTAGGAGAAAACATCAGTAACTAGTGATAGGCTAGAATACCGTCTACTAGGAGAAAACATCAGTAACTAGTGATAGGCTAGAATACCGTCTACTAGGAGAAAACATCAGTAACTAGTGATAGGCTAGAATACCGTCTACTAGGAGAAAACATCAGTAACTAGTGATAGGTAAGAATACCGTCTACTAGGAGAAAACATGAGTAACTAGTGATAGGCTAGAATACCGTCTACTAGGAGAAAACATCAGTAACTAGTGATAGGCTAGAATACCGTCTACTAGGAGAAAACATCAGTAACTAGTGATAGGCTAGAATACCGTCTACTAGGAGAAAACATCAGTAACTAGTGATAGGCTAGAATACCGTCTACTAGGAGAAAACATGAGTAACTAGTGATAGGCTAGAATACCGTCTACTAGGAGAAAACATCAGTAACTAGTGATAGGCTAGAATACCGTCTACTAGGAGAAAACATCAGTAACTAGTGATAGGCTAGAATACCGTCTACTAGGAGAAAACATCAGTAACTAGTGATAGGCTAGAATACCGTCTACTAGGAGAAAACATCAGTAACTAGTGATAGGCTAGAATACCGTCTACTAGGAGAAAACATCAGTAACTAGTGATAGGCTAGAATACCGTCTACTAGGAGAAAACATCAGTAACTAGTGATAGGCTAGAATACCGTCTACTAGGAGAAAACATCAGTAACTAGTGATAGGCTAGAATACCGTCTACTAGGAGAAAACATCAGTAACTAGTGATAGGCTAGAATACCGTCTACTAGGAGAAAACATCAGTAACTAGTGATAGGCTAGAATACCGTCTACTAGGAGAAAACATCAGTAACTAGTGATAGGCTAGAATACCGTCTACTAGGAGAAAACATCAGTAACTAGTGATAGGCTAGAATACCGTCTACTAGGAGAAAACATCAGTAACTAGTGATAGGCTAGAATACCGTCTACTAGGAGAAAACATCAGTAACTAGTGATAGGCTAGAATACCGTCTACTAGGAGAAAACATCAGTAACTAGTGATAGGCTAGAATACCGTCTACTAGGAGAAAACATCAGTAACTAGTGATAGGCTAGAATACCGTCTACTAGGAGAAAACATCAGTAACTAGTGATAGGCTAGAATACCGTCTACTAGGAGAAAACATCAGTAACTAGTGATAGGCTAGAATACCGTCTACTAGGAGAAAACATCAGTAACTAGTGATAGGCTAGAATACCGTCTACTAGGAGAAAACATCAGTAACTAGTGATAGGCTAGAATACCGTCTACTAGGAGAAAACATCAGTAACTAGTGATAGGCTAGAATACCGTCTACTAGGAGAAAACATCAGTAACTAGTGATAGGCTAGAATACCGTCTACTAGGAGAAAACATCAGTAACTAGTGATAGGCTAGAATACCGTCTACTAGGAGAAAACATCAGTAACTAGTGATAGGCTAGAATACCATCTACAAGGAGAAAACATCAGTAACTTGTGATAGGCTAGAATACCATCTACTAGGAGAAAACATCAGTAACTTGTGATGGGCTAGAATACCTTTATTTCTATACTGGGCTGTAGTTTACAATACATCATGAGGTGACAACAAGAAACAACTACAACAGGTAAACCA